ACTCTGGAAAACAGTATGGAGGTTCCCCCAAAAATTGAAAATAGAATTACCATATGATCCAGCAATTGCTCTAGTGGGTATTTACCCCATAGATACAAATGTAGGGATCCGAAGGGGTATGGGCACCCTGATGTTTATAGCAGCAATGTCCACAATAGCCAAACTGTGGAAAGAGCCAAGATGTCCATCGACAGATGAATGGCTAAAGAAGATGTGGTATATATATACAATGGAATATTACGCAGCCATCAAAAGGAATGAGATCTTGCCATTTGCAATGATGTGGATGGAACTGGAGGGTGTTATGTGGAGTGAAGTAAGTCAATCAGAGAAAGACAAGTATCATATGACCTCACTGATATGAGGAATTCTTTAATCTCAGGAAACAAACTGAAGGTTGCTGGAGTGGTGGGGGGGTGGGAGGGATGGGGTGGCTGAGTGATGGACATCGGGGAGGGTAAGTGGTGAGCGCTGTGAATTGTGCAAGACTGTTGAATCACAGATCTGTACCTCTGAAACAAATAATGCATATATGTTAAGAAAAAAAAAAAGAAGAAGATAGCAGGAGGGGAAGAATGAAGGCGGGGAAATCGGAGGGGGGAGACGAACCATGAGAGACGATGGACTCTGAAAAACAAACTGAGGGTTCTAGAGGGGAGGGGGGTGAGGGGATGGGTTAGCCTGGTGATGGGTATTAAAGAGGGCACATTCTGTGTGGAGCACTGGGTGTTATGCACAAACAATGAATTATGGAACACTACATTACAAACTAATGATGTAATGTATGGTGATTAACATAACAATAAAAAATTTAAAGAAAAAAATAATTTGAGCAAAGTGTCAAGAACACTTGAGTCAGTCAGTGATGAATCCAGAGCTGGGGTGTGACCTGTAGGCTGGGCTCTATAGGTGACCATGTAGACACAAATGAGCTGGGAGGTCGAGGGTGAGGGTGGGAGGAGCAGGCAGATGCAGTGAGAATACGGAAGTGGAATTGAGAGAGCTGGAAGGAGCCACCCCAAGACCTGACAGTCTTCCAGTTTCTCCAAGAACATGCCTGACATCCTTGTAACCACATAATAAACCCCCGTTTACCTCAAAAAAAAAATGATATGTCATTTGTTAAGCCCTCACTGGTGTGGGGTGCCAGGAAATGGATGTTTTGTCCTAGTGTCATGGAATGTCCATCCACAACTACCACTGTGCTAGTACTGACCTTAGAAATTAAGGTCCAAGTTTATGTTCATTATAAATATACACTGTCCAAGTGCTGGGTATCCACTGGCAAATAAAACGCACACCTTCACTTTTGTGGATCTTCCAGCCTAGTCTGGGACCTTATAGTCTATCTGGTATTTTTTTTTCTTGGTTACCAACTTATTGCTTAATTACGGTTTTTTTAATATCGTGAATGAAAAGCAGTAAGATGCCTTGAGACTCATCAGTTACTTAACCCTTGAACTTCGGTAAGGTTTTCTTTCTTTTTTTTTTTAAAGCTAAATCCCCAGACGGGTGAGTAATTAGATCAAGGTTCAGAATGACAAAGACCGATAAAGTAACTGCAAACAACATCATCCCACTTTGAAAGCGCTATTTTGGTCTTTCACCTAAAGTGACTTCTTTCTGCTGAAAGAGATTTGGCAGCAGCTAGCCTAGCGGATGGCAGAAAAATCAACCATGAACTATAAAGGTTTCATAAGATTGTGACATGGCCCCATTTTTACAGCCATTATGTAATCAATGGCAAAACAGCAGGGGAACAAAAGTAATTTATACCTGACTTTTGGAATGCAATAAAATTTCTATTTTGCTGTTTCTAGATTTAAAGTCCCTATTTTGTTTTGATGATGACTTCAATTAGTTTTCATCTCTTATGCACTAACCAATTGAAAGTGGTAAGAAAGGATGGTCAGAGGCATGCTATGTGGCAAAGAAAAGTCACTTGAGACTTCAGAAATTTGCTCCAGGAAGTCCATGAGAAAGACGAAACCTCTCATGGAAAGGCCACAGAAGAGTACATAAGAAGTAGTTTATAAGCAAACAAACTTGTTTTTCAAGGAAAGGGTGACAATGACAAAAGTTTTCAAGGTTTGTTTCACTGATTAACAGGTCAGGAAGAAGTTATTTTTTTTTTAAAGATTTTATTTATTTATTTATTTGAGAGAGAGAACACGTGTGAGGGCAAGCAGGAAGAGGGGCAGAGGGAGAGGGAGAGAGAGACTCTCAAGCAGACTCCCACACCCCCATAGCCCCCCCCCAGCACAGAGTCTCATTCCAGCTCAATCCCATGACCCTGAGATCATGACCTGAGCTGAAATCAAGAGCCAGCCGCTTAACCTACTGAGCCACACAGGGGCCCAAAGAAGTTGTGTTTTTGAGACTTCTTGGATGGGTTGAGTTGGATGGCAGTGGGGGATGGGGGACACTGGGAAGAGACTTATCCATTCATGCATATAAAAATGCTGGCTCTGTCGGAAGAGCATGCAACTCCTGGTCTCGGGGTTGTGAGTACAAACCCCACATTGGGAGTAGAGATTACATAATTAAATAAACCTTTTAAAAACTAAAAAAAAATTTTTTTTTAAATGCTTTCTGAGCACTTACTTTTGTATGAGTAAATGGGCTGGGTTCTGGACTACAAATAAGTATGAGATAGACACGGTCCTTGTCCTCAAAGCAGTTACAGTTAGTGGGAGGAACACAAAGGGCAAAGGAAGTTAATCAGGGTAAATGGAGGAACGCAGGGATTCCTGGAAGGGACAACTACCTTGCATTTGAAAAGTCAGAGGTTTCCTGGAAGAATTCCTTAAAGCTGACATCTGAAGGATGAGAAAGACCAAAGAAGAGTGTCCCTAAGGAAGGGAATCGTATAGGTAATAAGCTCAGAGGCGAAAGAGAGCAAGCATGGTGTGTTTAAGGAAAAGAAAATAACATATAGGGGGAGGGTTGGGGACAGAGATGAGAAATAAGGCATAGGGGTCCTCTAAGTCTAGTTAAGAAGTTTGAGATTGAGCCTGAGGGTCAGGAGGGGTATATTCAATCTTCATTAAAAAACAAAACAAAACAAAACAACTGGCTGCCAGAGAGTTGAAAGCTGTTGTCACCCAGGTGGCAGCTAATGGTTAGCTGTACCTAGAAAGTTGCTGTGAGGATGGAGAGAATGAAGAAATAGTCAAGAGATCTTAAAGAGAATCAGCAGGGGAGGATTTGATTATGGATGGATACAGGACAAGCTGACAAAGGGGTAGAAAAAGTTTCTGGCTTTGGCAACTAAATAGTCCAGCTCAACTGAGACAGGAGACACTGGGGTAGGAGTAGTTTGATCGAGAGGTGGGGGAAGGTTGAGTTAAAGGTGGCTGGAGGATACGTTGATTTGACTCACAGGAGACTAAGCTTAGCGGTTTGGGAATCATCTGCCTAAATGGGAGAAGAGAAGGCTCAAGACAGAATCCTGAGAAAGGCCCACAATGAAGAGAAAGAAATGCTTGTAAAGGAGATTTAGATGGAGTTTTTGAGAGAAGAAAGAAAAATCAGAAGAAGGTAGTATCAGGGAAACCCAGGGACAAGTTTTCCAGGGGGAGGGAGTGGTCAACAGTGTTCAATGCCATTGAAAACTAGGTAGAAGCTTCAGACAAACTCCAAATGAGGGACATTCTACAAAATAACTGACATTTAAAAATGTCAACACCAAGAAATACAAAGATTGAGAAATGGAGATTAAAGGAGACAAAAAGAAAAACAAACCATGAAAACTGAGAATGCGATGTATGATCTGGGATTGTCTTTTGCTGTACCTGCTATCATTTTTAATGGTTACATAATAATCCAGATAATTAAGTTCATTCAATTATATTTGAGTTAGTCATTTTTTTTAAAGATTTTTATTTATTTATTTGAGAGAGAGAGAATGAGAGAGAGCACGAGAGGGAAGAGGGTCAGAGGGAGCAGCAGACTCCCTGCAGAGCAGGGAGCCCGACGTGGGACTCAATCCCGGGACTCCAGGATCATGACCTGAGCCGAAGGCAGTCGCTCAACCAACTGAGCCACCCAGGCGCCCTTTTTATGAAACAAACAGGAAAGTAATTTAGTATTATTCCAGGCTTTGTCACAATCTATGTTACTTTATTTTTTTTATTTTTTTAAGATTTTTAAAATTTATTTGACAGAGAGAGAGAGCACACAAGCAGGGGGAGCAGTAGAGGGAGAGGGAGAAGCAGGCTTCCCGCTGAGCAGGGAGCCCGATGAGGGACTCTATTTCAGGACCCTGGGATCACAACCCCAGCGGAAGGCACGTGCTTAACTATCTGAGCCACCCAGGCGCCCCTCTATGTTACTTTATTTTTTTTTCCTATGTTACTTTAGAAGAATGTTTTTGTGGGATTCGTTACACCAAAAAAAGGTGAAAAGTGAATCTATACACTTTGATTACCAACGCTGGAAGAGAAAATGAAATTTACAGTTGCTGTTTTAGGTTTGTCTGAATATGTTTTCACTTCTGATTTTATCTTTAAATTTGCCTTCAAATTTGGCATATGGTGACCAAACCTCAGCTAGCACTATTTAAAATATTCATCGCAAGTGAAGGACTCCCTAATTTATGGGGTTCTATCCTAAGATAGGCATCTGTAGGAGGATGTGAATGTAAAGGACTCTTTCAAGAAGATGGCGAAATGGGGCAATAACCTTCAGTCTCCTTTCTGTGGTCCTGCAATTCCGGTACTTGTATACGGCTAAGTTGCATGCAACACACTAAAATATTTTCATTGTCTTTGATAATTTCTCTCTACTCTTTATGTTTTTTAAAACGTAGACATTTAAATTTTTTAAATTTAAATGTTTTCTCCTGTTCCCTTTCGCGTCCACCAAGAGCATTTATCAATAAGCCTTTAGGAATTGCCCAAACTGTCAAGTGCGCAAAACTTCACGGGCTGGGAGAATGCCCTCAGTCAAGATGGCTGCTGCTACATTCCGATGCCCTTGCTTGCCCTCAGCAAAGGTGGCTCCAGTGACTTCCTTCAAACCGGCTTTTCCCAGAACAAATATGGCGCCTCCGCTTCCGGATTTCGGTGAGCGGCTCTTGCGGGTCGGTAAGTGTAATGGGGACCTTGCAATTTTTCTCAATTAGTTGTCTCCGTGGACTGAGGAGTGACCTGGAATTAGGAGTAGGTAGGGGGTCTGGGCAGCGCATCAGATCATTCTCTCATAATTGGGAAATTATGGCGGCTTCTCCTGGCACGCTTCCAGTTTCCCCCTGTCCCACCCCCTCCTTCTCCCCAACAACACATGGCCTCCGCAGCTACCCCGTTGGGGAAATCCCCTATATTTGCAGGCAGTGTGACCGGATGCTCTTCCGTTCCTCTTCTCCTTTTTAAAAAAACCAGCTTTTTATTTTTATATAATTATTTAGTTTAACGACTGAGCCACCCAGGCGCCCCTAAAGATTTTACTTATTTATTTGACAGAGAGAGACACAGCGAGAGAGGGAACACAAGCAGGGGGAGTGGGAGAGGGAGAAGCAGGCTTCCCGCCGAGCAGGGAGCCCGATGTGGGGCTCCATCCCGGGATCCTGGGATCATGACCTGAGCTGAAGGCAGCCGCTTAACGACTGAGTATAATTATTTATTTTGAAAAACAGCTTTTTAAAGATATAATTCACAGTCCATAAAATTCACCTGTTTAAAATGTAAAATTCACTGGCTTTTCATATATTCCCAGGATTGTGCTGCCATCGCCACAATCTAATTTTAGAACATTTTCATCACCCTAAAGAAATACCTTGTACCCATTAGCGGTCTCCATTCACCATGACCTTTCAGTCTTCGACTAATAGTAGTCTACTGTCTATAGATTCGCCAGTTGGGAATTCGATATAAACTGAATCATACAACATGTGGCTAAAAGATAAACTGAGGCATATTTAAAATTCTAAGTTAATTCGGGCAAGAAGCGATTCGAATTGGGCAGTATCCAATGCCGCAGTTAGTAAGAAGTTCTGAGGAGCTGAACAAAATGAAAGACTTATAGGCAGAAGGGAGCAGGAACAAGGAAGTAATACTAGGCCAAGAAAGCAGGCTGGTTATTGCAACGTTATATCTCTTTAGGGGATGGCAAGGATCTAGCTGGCAGATTATCTAACTAGTGCTGATCAGGCGATTCCTGATTGGTTGTGGAGTTTAGCACAAGTGACACCATTTTGGATCTGTTGTCTTGTTTTTTTAACACTAGCTTCTTATCACTAAGTATAATATTTTCAAAGTTTGTCCTTGTGGAATGTATTAGAATTTAATTTTTTTATAAAGCTGAAAAATATTCCATGTGTGCATAGACCACATTTTATTCATCCATTCATTAGTTGATGGACATTTGGATTGTTTCCACTTATTGTTTATTATGGATAAAACTACTGTGAACATCTGTGTAAAGTTTGTGTGGACATGTATTTTTATTTCTCTTGAGCATACGCCTAGGAGTGGAATTTCCAGGTTAAAGTGTAACCCTGTTTAACCTTTTGAATAACTACCGAACTGTTTTCCAAAGGGCCAGTGACTTTTTATGTGGATATCCAGTTGTCTCAGTGTTGAAAAGACTGTCCTTTCCTTCTCCTGTGAAGTTGTTTCGGCACCCTGTGGAAAATCAATTGACCATACCTGTAAGGTTTTACTTCTGGACTCTGAGTTCTATTCCATTGATGTGTATGTCCATTCTTATGCCAGTACTACACAGTCTGGATTATTGTGGCTTTTTAGTAAGTTTTGAAATAAAAAAGTATGAATCCTCCAACTTTGTTCTTTTTCAAGATTGTTTTGGCTATTCTGGGTCCCTTGCATTTCTGTATGAATTTTTTAAACACTTTTGTCAATGTCTGCAAAAAGAAAAAAAAAAAGCCAACTGAGATGCAGCTAAGAATTACATTGCTCTGTAGATCGATTTGAGCCATATTGCTATCTCAAAATATTGTCTTCCAATCCATGAATATAGGATGTCTTTCCGTTTGTTTAGATTTTTAATTTCTTTCAACATTTTTTTAAAGATTTTATTCTTTAAGTAATCTCTATACCCAGTGTGGGACTCAAATTTATAACTGCAAGATCAAAAGTCATATGCTCTTCCGGCTGAACCAGCCAGGCACCCCTCTTTCAACATTTTTTTTTTTTTTTTTAGTTTTCATTGTACATGCTTACACATTTTTATTAATTATATTCCTAAGTATTGTATTCTTTTTGATGCTATTGTAAATGGAATTATATTCTTAATTTTAGGATTGTTTATTGCTAGTATATGTAAATATTTACACAATATTTGACACATCTTTATTGCTAGGGTAAAATCATTTGCATATACTTTTACTATATTGATCTTGTATCCAGCAATCTTGTTTAACTTGTTTAGTGGTTCTACTGGTTGTTTTTTTTTTAAGATTTTATTTATTCATTTCAGACACAGAGATACAGAGAGGGAGAGGGAGCATGGGCAGGGGGAGAGGCAGAGGGAGAGGGAGAAGCGGGCTCCACGCTGAGCCAGGAGCCTGATGTGGGGCTCAATCCCAGGACCCTGGGATCATGACCTGAGCCAAAGGCAGACGCTTAACCATGTGAGCCACCCAGGCACCCCGGTTCTGCTAGTTTTTAAAGAGGATTCCTTGGGATTTTCTATAGTTTCACTTCCCTCCTTTATGAAAATCTTTATGGAAGACTTTTATTCCATTTTCTTGCCTAATTGTGCAGCTAAAACAGAAGTGATCAGAACAGACATCATTACCTTGTTCCTGATGTTAGGGGGAAAACATTTAGTCTTTTACCATGAAGTATAATGCTAGCTTTGCATTTTTTTGAAAAAAATTTATCAGATTGAGGAAGTTCCTTTATATTTCTAGTTTGTTGAGTATTTTGATCATGAGTGTTTGACTTTGTCAAATGTTCTGTGTGTCTGTGTGTGCTGTGGTTTTTGTCCTTTATTCTGCTATAGTATATTACATTGATTTTCAGATGTTAAAACAACTTGGAATTCCTAGAATAAGTTCCACTTGTCATGGAGTATAATCCTTTTTATATTTTGCTGGGTTTGGTTTGCTTGTTTTCTGGCAAGGATTTTTGTGTTTGTATTCATAATATCAGTCTCTAGTTTTTTGTGATGTCTTTCTCTTGTTTTGGTGTCAGGCTAATATTGGACTTAGAGTAAATTGGGACATGTTCCCTCCTCTTCCATTTTTTAGGAGTTATCTAGGTGAGGGAAGGACAAGTGCAGTAGGAGGAGGTAGGGCTAATTGGAGAACCTGAAGGAAAGCCATTATGCTTGAAGCCTGGAAAGCAGTGAAGGTTGGAGGATTTGGCTAGAGAGAAAGTTCTAGGTGGTGATTAACGTCTCACAGGAGGAAAGAAGAGAGAGCCTTGGGCTAAGCATGGAGGAAGTCCAGTTGGGATTGGAAGATGAGCCACAGAGCAGGCAGGAAAGAACAAAGGCAAAGAGATGGGAGGGCAATCAGGAGAGTGGCTCCCTGAAAAGCAAACAAAGGATGGCAGAGTTTCCAGAAGTTATATGCTGAAGTGATTGAGTTGGTGGAGATGAGGAAATGAGCCAATTTAGACTCTTGAGAAGTTTGTGGAAGGGAGAAGAGACTGGCTGTGGGGAGGGCAGGTGTCAAAGATTTCCTTTTCACTTTTCTTTCTTTCTTGACAACTTTTAACGTTGACATGATTTTTAAAAAATAATGTATATATTTTTTATTTAAATTCGATTAATTACCATATAACGTATTATTAGTTTCGGAGGTAGAGTTCAGTGATACATCAGTCTTATATCAGTGCTCGTTACATCATGTGCCCTTCTCAATGTCTATCACCCAGTTACCCCATTCCCCAACTCCCTCCCCTCCAGCAGCCCTCAGTTTGTTTCCTATGATTAAGAGTCTCTTATGGTTTGTCTCTCTCTCTCTGATTTCTTTTTTTATTTTTTCCTCCCTTCCCCTATGGGCCTGTTTTGTTTCTTAAATTCCACATATGAGTAGGATCATATGATAATTGTGTCTCTCTGATTGACTTATTTCACGTAGCATCCTACCCTTTAGTTCCATTCATGTCGTTGCAAATGGTAAGATTTCATTCCTTTTGATGGCCGAGTAATATTCCATTGTACATATATACACCACATCTTCTTTATCCATTTATCTGTTGATGGACGTCTGGGCTCTTTCCATAGTTTGGCTGTTGTGGACATTGCTGCTATGAACATTGGGGTGCAGGTGCCCCTTTGGATCACTGCATTTGCATCTTTGGGGTAAATCCCTAGTAGTGCAATTGCTGGGTCATAGGGTAGCTCTATTTTCAACTTTTTGAGGAACCTCCATACTGTTTTCCAGAGTGGCTGTACGAGCTTGCATTCCCATCATCATGCTGATATGATTTTATACCTTCAAAAAATTGCAAGACTAGTACAAAGAACAACCAAATAACATTTTCCAGATTCACCAATTGTCTATTGTCTACACTTGCCCCATCCATTTACTTTATCATTCTCTCTCATACACACACACACACACACACACACACACACTTAGAACTATTTGAGAGTGTGTTGCACACATTATGTCCCCCTACCGATGAATATTTGAGTGGCATTCCCAAAGAACAAGGACATTCTCTTACATACTAGGTTTCGTTGAAAATGGGTTTGGGCATATTGAAATATCCAAGTGAAGGTCCAGTGGAACAGAAGTGGGAGAAGGGGTTGTCATCCCTGAAGGCTCGTTAAAGGGTCCAGAGCGTGGGATTTAAGGTGCAGGTGGAGGGGTTGGACTTTGCCACAGGAGGGGCGGCTCTCTGCTGCGAAGAGAGGTGAAGCAGTGGACAGATGTGGGAATCTTTGTTCTGTTTGATAAGGGAGTGGAGGAAGTTCCTCTCTGCTGGATTCTGTTTCCTTTATCAATTAGGATGGGAACAGAACTACTGAAAAGAGCAGGAAGGTGTGTGAGAAATGGGAAGGGTCTGAGTTGAAGAAGTTTGGAGAAAATGCGAGAGTCAAGGAGAGGGGAAGAGCGAGTTATGAGATAAGATGGCTACTGAATGGCAAATAGAAGGCTAAATGGATGGGA